TGGGAATCATAATTTTTCACACGCAAACAATTAGGAAAATAATTTATCATAATAATCCTTGCATTTGATGCAGCTCCTCATCGCGTCGTTGAGACGACTTAAAGCGCTTCACAGAATATACTGTAAAGTGAATTGACTGTTGCATTTTGTGGGCGAAGCAAGTATTAAAGCAATACTTGTGATGTTGCTTTTCTAATTGAATCTTTATGCTGTCATTCATCAAACGTTATTGTTTGCTATCATTGCTCGTAATTTACTTGATTAAACCCAGCAATTGGATTGACTGTGTATTTCGTGGGCAAAACATGGCAGCCAATTGCGCACAGCATATCCCACAAAGAGTGTTGTGGATTGTGTGACCGCATTTTTGGGGGGAAGGATTGTTACCGCCAATCGACTACTCACTGCTGGATGAACAGAGGCGTGTGGAGAAAGGAAACTTGCTCAAGGTCTCGCTTGCGAGGCTAGAATGCTAACCACCATACTTCGAGACTCAGTTTGGGTCAGGACATTGTCACAATCCACTGACGGTTGTTCAGAGATTTACTCACGTTCTCTCGACCTACACGTTGGGGCTTTGAGCTCACAGTGTAAGCTAACACTCTAGTACGGTGCAAAGTTCCACCCCCTTGTCCAGTTGGGTGTTAAAGATCCCATATCATTTTTGGAAAAGAGAAGGGACTTTCTCTCTATACCGGTGCCTGGCCAAGAATCCCTCAAATAAAATCAGTCACTCACTCCGTGGCTGTTTGTGGGGACATTGCTGTGCGCAAACTGCTTGCTGCGTTTCGCCCGCAAAAAGTACAATCACCGGACTTCGCAGTAAAATCCTGTGAAGCGCCTTGAGACGTCTTTCGGATGCGAAGCTAAGAATCTTTAAGGATTGTACAATTTATGTCGAATGCAAGGATTATTACGATCGATGCGGAAGTGTTTTTGCTCTTCTAGAAAGAACGACGGGAGGGGGAAAAAAAAAGAACGTATCAAGCTGTATATGTTTATCGTTACTTTAAATATCCAGTGTTTAAAAGTGTACAAGAAAATCAACCAGGTGTCAAGAGTCCTGGAGCCACACCTGTGTCAAAAGCCTCAAAGGCACTCAGTGTTCAATGGGTCACTATAAGACCTAGCTGACTGCGTGCAAGCTCTCTACGGTCTTGCTCCTCCCTGCCTCTGCGATCTATTAAAAATTTCACCAACCTGTCCTCTCCCTCGGCTCTGCGGGCACCACCACCCACCGCTCCCACCCCTCCCAATCCACTATCGAATGGCCTCCTTCTGTGGTCAGGCCTTTAGCCTTTCCGTCCTCACCCTCTGGAACTCCATCCCGGAGTCCCTTGGCCTCGCCCTCTCTTGCCTCGTTCAAGGCCCGTTTCAAGATCTTCCTTTTCGTCCGTGCCTTCGGTCATCTTCCCTCCTCCAACCATCCCCGCCATCCACCCCTCTCTGATCCCAACCCCCCCCACCCATCCCCAGCTCAGGTACAAAACCCTCATTGTCCAGAGCCTTGGGACATCCTCCTGATGTGAAAAGCGCTGTGTAAATGCAGTTTTGTTGTTGTTGTTGTAGAAAGGTTATGGCGCTGCAATAAACCTCGCTCTCTCCACGGCTATTTAAGCTAGCACCTACGTTCACAAAAATCATAGGATCCTACAGCACAGAAGGAGGCCATTTCGACCTATCGTGCCTGCGCTGTCTCTTTGAAAGAGCTACCGGACAAGACCCACTCCCCCCGCTCGTACCCATAGCCCTGGGGGCAAAAAAATTCTTTTCAAGTTCACGTTCTTTTCATATTCTTTGAAAGTTACTATCGAATCTGCTTCCAACGGCCTTTCAGGCAGTGCGTTCCAGACCGGTCACTGAAATCCACCCTTATCTGGGAAAAATGGTGCCTTTCTTGGCATCTCCTGCGTCATTTTTGAAGGGATTATTACTCCCTCTCTTTGTGCTCGAACGTATTTTTTTGTTTGGTTTTAAGGGGATCAGACAAACGAGACACGGAGGCTGAACTCTTACACCATATAGAGAGTCAGATATCAATCGTCCAGCCTGCTGTGTACACGAATAGTGCTGAGACCATCAGTGTTGCCTTGTGTATTTGTCTTAAGATGACGCTCCAATGCAGCACTGAGGGGGGGGTGTTGCATTGTCGGAGGTGTAATCTGAAAATGGGGAAGGAGAGGGGTAAGGCGGATATGTCAGGGAAGGAGGTGAGTTCCTGCCTGTGCCTGTTCCAGTGCAAAACAATGGCGTAATCTTTTGACTCGGAGGCGATAGTGCTATCCAATGCAACGCAGTGTTGCTGAGTCTTCCAGGCTGATTGGGTCCTCCGTGTCTCTGGGTGAACCTGCTGTCCCCAGTATAAATATCTACAGTACATCCAACCCCGAATCCCTCCGCCTCGCCCCCTCTGTCTCCTCCTTCAAGACCTTTATAGCCATGCTCCGACCCTCATTTCCTCGACCCTCTCCCACCCTCTCACCCTCACACCTCTTGATCCCCAACCCCAGCTCGGGTGCAAACCCTTGACTGTCCACGCCTTGAAATGTGACTTGTTGATGTTGTTACAATTCTCATAAACCTTCAAAAGAAGGGCTATATCCACATTATAAATATATATACATACATACACACACACAAAAATGAACCCAACGCTATCTTCTCTGTTACCCAGGCATCTGGTTTCTTGGAACGTCTGATAATAAGAATAGTCCTTGCATGTGATATAGCACCTTATCACGTTGCTGACGCATCTCAAAATGCTTCACAGGATACACTGTAAAGGTTGGCCAAACGCTGCAGCCAGTGTCGCATAGACAGTCGTGGATTGAGTGCCTTTTTTGTTGAAGGGATTATTACCCCCGAAAAGCGATCCGCCAATCGGCTAACAACTCGGTTCCTACTTACTGCGAGGTAAACAGAGGCGTACAGAGTAAGGAATCTTGCCTAAGGTTTTGCCCCGCCTGGGGATCAAACCCAAAGTCCTCTCGCTCGCGACAACATGTCAAGCGCTAACACACTAAGTTTCGGGACTGCACCTCCGCTGTGTGTACCTCAATTTAAAAAAAGTTCAGAAGGGTTTTTCTTCTTGGTTGTTTGTCTTCCCCGGAGGGATTCTTTTAAACCCCTTTTTATTTATTTTTTTCTCTTAACAAGAGGTGTGTCAGCCTGGCTCGGTCGATGGCGTCAGAACTAGGAACAGGTATAGGCCATTCAACCCCTCGTTCCGCCATTCTGGTAGACCATGGTTGATTTGTACCTCAACTCCATTTGCTCTATATCCTTTGATTCGTATCCCTTGATACCGTGACCCAACAAACATCTATCCACTTCAGTCTTGAAAATATGAATGGATCCAGCATCCACAGCCATTTGGGGAGAGAGTTCCACATTTCCACTACCCCTTTGTGTGAAAAAATCCCTCCTGATTTCATTCCGAAATGGCCTGGCTCGAATTTTAAGATGATGTCTCCCCCCACCACCGACCCCACTTGTTCTGGATTCCCCCACCAGAGGAAACAGTTTCTCTGTATCTACTCTATCGAATCCCTTCTTTATCATTTTAAACGCCTCAATCACATCAACCCTCAGTTAGCGCTCTCGCCTCTGAGTCAGAAGGATGTGGGTTCAAGCCCCCAAGTTAGCACTTGGAATCACACGGTCTAAGATGACACTCCAATGCCGTGCCTGGGGGAGTGCTGCTTTGTTGGAGGTGCCTGTTCTTCAGGTGGCACTATTGGAAAAGAGGAGTTTCTCTCACCCACACCCACCCCCCCACCCCAAATAAAATTGGTCGTTCACTCCATGGCTATTTGTGGGACATTGTTGTGCGCAAATTGCGCAAATTTTACAGTCATCCGGCTTCACCGTATATTCCTGTAAAGCTCTTTGACACGTCCTCTTGACCTGAAAGTCGCTATATCGAATGCAAGTGTTAATAATTATTATTATTATTACAAAGTGGACTTGTGAGGGAGACCCGTGTTTTTCATAAGTTATAGATATGAAATTAAACTGCCCCCCTCCACACCCCACCCACAACCCCTTCCCCACCACACCATCATCAATGTACTAACCCTTCCTCCCCCAGCCCAGCATCCTTCCTGAGACTTTCTTTGACTCTGTTAACGTAACTGCTTGAACAGTCTGCTTTTCCCCAAAGTAATGGACCATGCATCGCACCCACACAAGGGGGCGACCTTCTCCCATGCCGTTTGTCCAACAGGGTCTCCTTGGAGCTGAACTGGCTCCCAGGTGACACGTTTGCAAGTGGAATGTCAGAATCGAGCCCATCCTCTGTGGCGGTCTCTCTCGTCCGGTTCCTGAGCCAGGCCGGTCCCTAGCATTCCAGCGCACTCACTGCTGATGACAGCACAGCCCCAGCCTGGCTCATTGGCGGGACAAAGATGGGCAGACCATTCACTGAGGGCAGGGAATCCTCCCACTCAGCTCCTGTTCACCCTGCACAAGCCAAAGTCCTAATGGGTAAGGGTGGTCCTAGCTGGACAAGCAGCGGGAAACTTGCCAGATAATGCCCTCAATGGCAAGCTATGGGGTTTCAGCTGGTTAGACTCCAGCAGTTACCCCAACTCACACTCTGAGGTCCCCCCAAGCCTTGGCTCTTGCCAATCTGTGCCTAATACTTTCCGGAATTAGGTAAGCAGGATGTGTCCCTCCAGGGAGAGAGAGAGTGCGCAATCCATTCCGACAATCTATCTCTGTGAAGCCATGTGAAGGTGGGATGCATGGAATTCTGTTTGGTTTGGAAACACTTAAGCAACAGTGATGGGTTTCCGCATGTGTCAGACACCCGGCTGAGCAAAACCAACAGGTCGTGTCCCAAGTGCAGACGGTTTGGTTCAGTTCAGTGTATTGTGGGGCAGGTGGACTTTCTGTACCCAGATTCTGTACCCAGACTCCCCCTAGCTTTCCCTCCTCCCCATCCCTCCCCCCCCCCCCCCCCCACTCCCTAGCCCCCGAGTCCATTGCCTCCGCCCCCTTCACGCCACAGACTCGCTCTCCGGGTTGGCGATGTCCCCGTTCAGCTCCGACTGCCCCTGGACACGATCTGTCTCCGGCTCTGACTCCCGCTCCGAGTCTTTCTCCCGCTCCCCACCGGGTTTGGGCGGGGTCTCGTCGCTCCCGATCCCGCCCTCCTCGAGTTCCAGGGGAAGGGGCTCGGATGGGCCTGGGGAGAAGGTGGAGCACAGCTTCTCCATCAGGTCCTTGGCGCTGCACGAGGGAGTGAAGGTCTCGTAGGTGGCGTGGAAGCTGTTGTAGTCGACCTCGTAAAATCCCTCCTCCAAGGTCAAGACCGGCATAAAGCGATAGCCCCACAGGAGCTCACTGGTCACATACGAGCTTCGAGCCTGGCAGGTCATTCCTTACGTTTGCAAAAAAAAAGGAACAAAACATAACTTAATAATAATTTACAGTGTATAGTTTGGGACACAACACACCAAGTGACTGCCAGGATGGTGGATGGAGAATTAAATGGACCTTGGTCTTCTTTCGCCAGCAAATTCTTATGCATTTGATTTAGCGCCTCATTCAGCATCATCAAATTACATTTACACAGCGCCCTTCATATCGGGAGGGCTTCCCAAGGCCCTGGACAGTCAGGGATTTGGACCCGTGCAGGGGGTTGAGATCAGGAGTGGTGGAGGGTTGGGAGGTGAGGAGTAGGAGGGTGACCAAAGGCGTGATTGAAGAGAAGGTAGACAAGGGACGGGGTGAGGTGAAGGCACGACATGAAGATGGGGAAGGGATTGGGGGAGAGTTCCAGAGTTTCGGGGCGTGAGTGAAGCCTATTATCCTCACCTGTGGCTTCCACCATCCCCTCCAGGATCACCACGATCTCCAGGTCCTCCTTAGCCAGCTCGGCTTTGGAAATGGACCAGAAGGGGCTGTGCTGGTCGATCTCGTGGCTGATGATGAGCGGGGAGACCAGGAACAGCCGGTCATCCCCAGTGTCGTAGCCCACGTTCAGGTCGGTCTGGTGGAGTGGGATGAATTCACCCTCCTTGGTCTGCCGCGACTTGATGAGCTTGGCTCGGATGGACGCCTCCACGATGTGGGAGTTCCTCAGGTCCCCCACCCGGAACATGACGCACATCTTGCCGTCCCGCAGGGAGATGACGGCGTGGCTGGAGAAGACCAGGGTCTCGGCACGCTTCTTGGGTTGGGAGATCTTCACGAACATGCAACCCACCATGAAGGCGTTGACCATGGAGCCTATGACGGATTGGACCAGGAGCAGGAGGATACCCTCAGGGCACCTCTCAGTGATGACCCTGTGTCCATAGCCGATGGTGGTTTCGGTCTCGATGGAAAACAAGAAGGCGGACACAAAACCGTTGAGGTTCCTCACGCATGGAACCCAGTCGCTGTCTTCTAAGTGGTCCATGTCCCCCCTCATGTAGCAGATAAGCCACCAGAGCATACCGAAGAAGAGCCAGGTGGAGGTGTAGACCATCACGAAGATGACAAGGTTGAACCTCCACTTTAGGTCCACCAGGGTGGTGAAGATGTCCGTCAGGTAGCGGTACCGCTCTCGCACGTTGCCATGGTGCACGTTACACTTGCCGTCTTTCCTCACGTACCTCTGGATACGCTTCTTGCTCTTCTTGGCACTGGCTCCAGCTCCTGGGTCAGGCATCTGCCTAGAGGGGACCTCCTTCACTTGCTTGGGCAGTTTCCTGGCCTGAAGCCCGCTCACTGGGCTCTCCACGTCCCGGTCCATATGGTGATCTGCGGTCTGCCCAGGAAGGGGGCGGGGAGGAGAACAAGGGGCAAACGGTAGGAGAAATTATTATATACATTTTTTTTTTTGCTCGGACGGGTGTCTGACTCGTGTGGAAACCCACCGCCGTGTTTAAGAGTATCCAAACCAGGCTGAGAATTCCATACATCCGACCTACACATGGGAATCCCAGAGACAGCTTGTTGGAATGGAACGCACTCTCTCTCTCTCTCCCTGGAGGGACACATCCTGCTTTACCTAATTCCGGAGAGTATAGTAGGTGCAGGTTGGCAAGAGCCAAGGCTTGGGGACCCCCAGAGTGTAGGATCAAAGAGCCATTGGGATCCTTTAATCACACGGTCACAACATGCAGCCATTGATGGTGATGATGATGACGACGATGATGGTAATGACAATAATAATCCTTGCATTTTGATACGGCGCCTTATCACAGCGTTCAGACATCTCAAAGCGCTTCACAGGATATACTGTAAAGCGGAGTGAGGAGAAACTCGGCAGCCAGTGTCCCACAGACAGCTGTGGAGAGAATGACCACATTATTATCATTTATGTGTATATATGTTTACGACCTAAACTACAGAAACACGTTACCCTGTCAGGTGTCAGCTGATGCCTTTTCTTCTCCGGGATCGACCTTAGAATCACCCCATCAGAGCTGGCAAAGTTAAACCCAGTTCTTCCACAATTATAGGTTGCCTTCATTGATTTGTTTTTGTTTCTATCTATATCCCGCTTTCTCCGGGAATAATTGCTGAGCTCAGTCCTCTGGTTAAGTCTCTGCCTCGCCTTGGCTTGAGTGCCGGGGATGAAGGTTTACAGCGCGTTGGTCAACCGCCCACACGCCAGATACTTACTGTCTGCCCAGTTAGCCCTCCAGCCAGCCAACCCGGCTCAGTCAGGAACAATCTCACCGTGGGACGGTGTGGGGTGGGGGTGGGGGGTGGTCAGAAAGTTGTAGGCTTTGTGACCCTGAGCTCACAATTCCTCGCCAACAGACCAGCTCGCTGGGACTCGATTCACAAGAACACCACACGGACCCCTTTAGCGTAGGCGTAACTCGTCCTGTAGCGTTGTGGTTTTGCGAGCTCTCTTCGCAAGCGAGAGGACCCGGATTCGATTCCCAGGCGGGGCAAAACCGTAGGTAAGCTTCCTTACTCCGCACGCCTCTGTTTACCTGACAGTAAGTAGGAACCCGGTTGTTAGTCGGTTGGCAGATTGCGGTGGTTAATAAGCCCCTTTTTTTAAAAAAAAGTGCAGTCACTCAATCCGCGAGTGTTTGTGGGGACGCTGCTGTGAGCAATCGGCTGCCGCGTTTCACCCACAAAATACACAGTCAATTCACTTTACAGTACATCCTGGGAAGCGCTTTGAGACGTCTCAACGACGTGATAAGTCGCTATATCAAAAGCAAGGATTATTATTATTTTTATTATAACATGGGTTTGGCTGAAGAACCGCCTTCGGCAAATCCGATCTCATCCGTCTTGCTTGCCTAATTCTGGAAAGTATTAGGCGCAGGTTGACGAGAGCCAAGGCTTGGGGTCCCCAGAGTGTGCGTTGGGGTAACTGCTGGAATCGAACCAGCTAAAATCACGTTTAATGTCCCATTTACGCTTAAACCGGAAGCGCTCTGCTGTTGCATTTTTGGTTCCTTCTAGTTGTTTCTGTTAGGTAATTGAGAGCGCTGTCTGGCGAGCTTTCCCGCCGCTTGTCCAGCCAGGACCACCCTATCCCTTTGCGCCTCGGCTTGCAGGGTTAACGGGAGCTGAGCGGGAGGATTCCCCGCCCCCAGTGACTTGGTCTGAGCTTCCAAGTCCTGCCGATGAGCCGGGCTTGGGGCTGCTCAGTCATCGGCAGTGAACTTCTCTAATTCCACAGGGGATATTTTTTTCAACAGTGTATTAATTAACATATCATAACTCTCGATTTACATTCCCTCACCCCGCCGCTCACGGTAACTAAATCTCAGGCTGCTAAATCTAGGCTTGTCCTCCCCAGACACAAACACCACGAGGCCTGCAGTCCTGCCTCGCAGTGGCTGTCGGAGATAAGGAGCTTAATTTCTCTTCTCTTCACCTAAGTCGCTCGCTCACAGCAAACGCCTGAACAGCAAGCGGTTTCGTCTTTGATGTCTTATCTTGCTGCTGGCAGGACGTTAACGTGTCAAGAAGCAACAAAATAATTGCAATCCGCTCACAATATGGAGTCCCGTAGTGTAGTGATTAGCGCACTCGACTTGCACATCAGAGGATGATTCCCGGGCAGATCGCAACCTTAGGGAAGTTTCCTTACTCCGCACGCCTCTGCTTACCTGGCAGTAAATACGAACCCGATTGTTAGTCGATTGGCAGATCGCTTTCCGGGGGTAATAATCCCTCAACCCACCCCCAACCCCCAAAAAATTAGTCACTCATTCCGCGACTGTTTGCGGGGACGCTGCTGTGCGCAATTGGCTGCCGCGTTTCGCCCACAAAATATGCAGTCAATCCACTTGACAATATATTCTGTGAAGCGCTTTGAGACGTCTCAACGATGTGATAAGGCGCCATATCAAATGCAAGGATTATTATTAATTGTTAGGTGGGGATGTGGGTGTGCGTGTGGGTGTGCGTGTGGGTTGGGGGCATGGGCGGCGGTGTGTGTGGGTGGGAGGGGGTGGGTGGGCGGGTGGGTGGTGTGTGTGAGAGATATATTTGTCCATCCCTCTCTCTGGGCTGTGTATAAATACAGTAATTCCTGAGTGGTTCGCTGTCTGCGATATAAAAGCTACCGGCTCAGCCCCTGGGACAGCGCCGCGTGCCTCTGGCTGCTCTCACTTCTCACACGTCGTTCTTTGTCACCGTTATAATTAGCAGCTTGACACGAGCGCTGATTAGTATTTGCACTCGGGAGGCCCGTTAGATTGACGGCTGCCTCTTCGCCTCTCGGACTCGTCTGTGGCTGTGATGAAGTGCGAAGGAGCCGGGCTAACATTAGCAGCAGCTCAGTCGTTAATCCAGAGATGATTCAGCAACATTTGGCGACGTGCCTTAATTTGTCTCCCTGACACTTTGCGACCGGTCTAGGAAACATCGTGTGTCGGCCTGGCTCAGTGGGTAACGCTCTCCCCTCGTAGTCGTAGTTGTGGGTTCGAGCCCCCAGGTCAGGACACAGTCCAAGTTGACTCTCCAACGCAGTGCTGGGTGGGGGGGGTGGGTGGGGGTGGGTGAGGTGTGCTGTATTGTCGGAGGTGCTGTCCTTCGGATGAGACGTTAAACCGAGGTCCTGTCAGATGGACGTTAAATACCCCGCGGCGCTATTCGAAAAGAGAAAGGAGTTTCTCTCTCCCCGTGTCCAGGCCGACAATCTCCAAAGATTAAAATATGGGTCCCTCCACGAGATGATAAGGCGCTATATTAAATGCAAGGATTATTATTCCGATGACTTTTTTTATAATAATAATCCTTTGCATCTGATATAGCGTCTTATCACGTCGTTCAGACGTCACAAAGTACTTCACAGAATATATCATTTATCATTTTTTATTATTAAAATAATAATACCAGATAATTATTTTTGGCGGGGAGGGATTATTGTCCACGGAAAGCGATTCGCCGATCGACTAACAACCGGGTTCCTACTTACTGCTGGGTAAACAGAGGCGTGTACGCGGAGTAAGGAAAGTTGCCTAAGGTTTCGCTCCGCCCGGGAATCGAACTCATGTCCTCTCGCTTCTGAGGTGAGTGCTCCAACCACTGCGCTACAGGACGCCAACGTCCGGCAGTTTGGTAACCCCGGCCGGAGGCAGAAGGCTGGCCAGGTTAGGCTATCCTGAACAGCCAACAACAGGGGGGGGGGAAAAAAAAACGCAGTTCCTCTCAGTGATCAGCGGGTGAGAAGACTATTGATTTACGTTCCGAAATGCACACCGAGAGCCGAGAGCTACAGTTGGACAGGAGTGATGAATGCTCCAGCAAATACTGGGAACAGTAAGCTCCAGTGAGGCTCAGATTCCCAGTAAATTAGCCTGCGTGCCTGCCTCATCCCACATTGTCCATCTCTTGCCCTGAGCTCACGCTCTCCTGACAGATTTGGAGCCCCGTAGCGCAGTGGTTAAGCACGCTCCCCTCGCAAGCCAGGGGACCCGGGTTCGATTCTCAGACGGGGCGAAACCTGCGGCAAGTTTCCTTGCTCCGCACGCCTCTGTTTACCTGGTGAGGAGGAACCCAGTTGTTGGTCGATTGGTGGATCGCTTTCCGTGGGTGATAATCCATAATCACTCAACCCACGACTGTGTGTGGGACACTGCTGTGCGCAATTGGCTGTTACGTTTCGCCCACAAAATACACTGTCGATCCAATTTACAATGCAACGGCGTGATATCAAATGCAAGGATTATTATTCTGTATTCAGGAAGGTTGTAAAATCAATACTGCTCTTGCTCCGCGCTGCTTTGATCTCCAAGGATTTTACCCACTACGATAGACTGAGAGTAAGCTTCAGTGCATTTATCACAGCAGATTATAGACTCTGAACACCACTACCACCTTTTTCCCTCTTCCCCCCACCCCCCCCCCCTCTGCCTTGACTACGAATCCATAACACAGGAGAGATCAGTGGCTCTTTTTTTTTGCAGGGTTAACAGGAGCTGAGTGGGAGGATTCCCTGCCACCAGTGACTGCTCTGCCCTTCCAAGTCCTGCCGATGAGCCAGGCTGGGGCTGCGCTGTCATTATCAGCGCCTTAGAGTACTGCGGACCCGCCTGGCTCATGTAAAATTTTAAACGAGATTGAGAAAGTAAACCCGGAGCATCGCGGAGACAGTAGAAGGAGTGGACACAGGTTATTAGGTGTACAGACATCGGCAAAGGTATGTATGGCACACTGGCTGCTGGGTTCACCTGCAAACAATACACAGTCACTTCGCTTTACAGTGAAATCCTTTTGAAGCGCTTTGAGACGTGATCCCGAGGCGGGACACCAAATGCAATCTGCACCCACCCCACCCCACCCCCG